TCGTACCCCGAAGCGGAGTTCGCAAACCGAAGCAAAATTTTGCGGCCGGAGCTGGTCATAACCCGAAAAGTTCATTAACAGAAGCGTTCGTAACCCGAGATTCCACTGTATATGGACTGCGCAAAGAGCAACTTTCTTTCCCTTCTCAATCAGTTTTATTCCTCCTCTTCTGCCCTCATTCTTGTTTTGTAAGAAAGGGAAGAAACCTCTCAGTCTTACAACAATGTTACAAAGTCAGTTTGCTGAAGTTACTACGATTATGACTGTAGAGCATTTCAAGCATTCTAGAACAAGTATGGGCTACCTATGTGGCTTCAGATGTTAAAAGAGATCAGCTTTCACTGTCCCTCTCCACTGGCCATGCTGGCTGCAAGTTATGGAAGTTAATGCTGAATAATATCAAGATGGCCATGCATTACCCACCTCTGTTTTACAATTACTATTTGAATGCTATTTTTATATTATTTTAGTTATAGAATTCCAAGTCTGCTTTTCAGTGATAAAATAATGCCAGTATGTCAACGCAAATTAAAGAGATTTATAATAAAATCATTTTATGCTAAAAATGTCATTTAAAATGTTCACATTTTAAAAGGTATAAAGTTACATGACATGGTAATTGTCATTCCTATCTCTGTGTATGTGGGGCAAACAGTGGGGTTCTTCCCTAGGCTGTATGTTGGGTTCATGACCAAGGTAAGATCTGTGTGAATGGTTTACATGCTAGGCCACCATATGCTGAGCAACAACAGCATGTTAAATAATCACATACTGCCCACAGATACGTTGTGTAGATAAAAAATGGACAAACTTCACTTTTGCTTTAACCGCTTTATTAATTCCAAGAATAATCTACTCTGCTTGTTAACATCAAAAAAACTAACAAATGGAGCCCCATGAAAAAGACATATTAGAATTTAAAAATGTTAAGGCTAGGTATTCATTTTAATTACCAGAATTAAACAAATCTCACAGTCCTTTTACATAAAAATCTATTTAAGGGATATCTGATATGTCTTCATTTCAGAAGTATAAATTAGAAGTGGCTATTTTGT